AAAAATTCACATTGTTTCATGGGACAGCCAGAGATCTGAACTCAGAATCATACAATCTATTGGTGTAAATACCAGTTTTATCTGTAACCAGGTTCATTCAGTTTCCACTTGAGTAGACCCACAGAACTCTCACATATGCTCAGAGACTCAGTGGGGCTTTTCCACTGCAGGGAAACAACAATTCTGGCTTCCTTTCTAACTATGCTGGCCATATTTGTTTCTTGCTGCCCAATGCACATTTACTACATTGCATATGACTACATGTAGGTTTGCTAGTATATTCAATAACAAGTGTTTTAGCTAGGTACAGGTCCTCATACCTGTACTTCCAGCAACTTGAAAGGTTGAAGCAGAAGATCAACGCAAATCTGAGGCCAGCCTGGGCTGCATAGTAACAACCTAACCACCCCAAACCCAATATGTATAATTTTATATCATGTACTTATCTTTCTAACCTTTTGGTTATTTGAAGCAGAATTTGAGGTGAAGTTACTTTACATATCTGCTAAGTCTGCCTTCTTGTCTCAAAGCCTCGATGACTTCTGCCATGTGTAAGTTGGCTCACATTGTAATAATGCCACAAAGTTCTCAAGGTCAGGAGAGTATAGATGAAAAGTAATGTAAGAGAGAAATCCAACTGTTTTCTCCCTGTGATGTGGGAAGGCCCTCAGCTACCTTGGCCAAGGGCACAGCTTTTCTCTCCAACCCTGAACTGCGGAAACAGAGGGCCCCATTCTGTGTAGTCAGGGGTCTGAGTTCTCACCCCAGTGAGCATATGGGTTTAGGGACATTCATCACCCAGAGAAGCTGCTGATCTGGAAAAAGAGACTTTCCACAAGACAACCCAAAATACTTTCTAAACTTACAGAAAACTGGTAGTGACTCTCCATGTGCCAACTGCTGACAGGCAGTTTTGTTTAAAGATACTCCAGGTGGAAAAGGAGCAAGCTGTTTCAAGGAGAATTCCAGGGGGTGGTTGGCTGTTTCAGTGGGCACCTCACAGGAAGGTCACCCTCAGTGGGAGCAACTAACTCAGAGGTCACTTAGGGAAGGTGAGCCAGGACCCGCTGTCTGGATTCCACCTGAGAACTTGGGTTCTATTCCCCGGGAAGTACTGACTCCTCTGTGCCTTGTTTTCACATCTGTAAAATGAAGATAAGAGCTGCAACTAGGTATAGAGAGTGTTACTAGGGTTGAGGCGACTTGATGCAGCAGAGATTTGGAAGAGGGTCTGAAGCCTCAGTAAGCATGATATAAACTTAGCTGTTATTATCATTATGGAGAATAGGATGTTGGATCTGCTCAGTCTACAAGCCAAAAACCGAGTCAAGTGCCCCATATTCCAACAGGAGTTATGACACTAGCCAGGTCTTTGATGTAGACCACCACCTGTGTTGCAAAGGAGGCGACAAGACCTGGAGTCTGTTAGACTCAGGGAGGCTGAAAATCAAGTGATGGACAGCAAGGATTTCAGAAAGAACTGTTGCAGGACTGTAGTGCTTCTGTTTTCTTGGGAAGAGATTCATCGGTGTCACAGTAAATCGTGTAAGAATTATGGTATAATGATGCACCCAAAAGCTTAGCCTGTGCCCTATGAGGAAAGACACGTCACGCATATTTGGGAAAACCTATGGGACAGAGCTGTAGCCAAAGAGACCAGAGCAGAGAAACAGAAGGGAAACACAGGGGAGGAGGTCACTATGTAGAGTTGGAGGGAGGAGACATAGAACTCTCAGGAGGAATGCTTCCCACCAGAGTGACAGTATCCTTCCTAGGATGAGGAGACCTGGGCAGAAAGGAACGGGATACCACTACATGTAGGAGCTGAGAGTGGGATAGTGGTTATGGAAAAGAGCATCATCACATAAAGGGATTGCAGTCGAACACACTCTCTTCCACCCTTAACTCCTGGTGTGATGCATGTGCATCTACATGTCTGTGGTGGTTAGTTTTGTCAACTTGACACAATGTAGAATCACTTGGAAAAGGAGTCTCAATGAATTGTCTAGATTAGGAAGACCAGTGGCCGTGCCTGTGAAGAATTTTCTTAATGGGTTAACTGAGGTGGGAATACCCACCCTGAATACGGGCAGCCCCACTTAATGGGCTGGGCTCTGCGATGAGTGAAGAGGGAAAGGAAGCTGAGCACACACATTCATGCATGACTTCATTGCTCTCTGTTCTTGATTAAGGGTGGATTATGACTAGTTCCTGCTCCCTTGACTTCTCTGCAATGATGGATCTAACCTGGAATTGTGTGCCGAATTAATCTTTATTTTATTTTCTTTATTTGGTTACTTTTGTGGGGGACATTTTATCAAAACAACAGAAGTAAAAACTAAGACAGTGTCTCTAGGGAGTTTAAAAGGCACAGGGAAGAAGAGTCAGCATTTGGATATCCTTCCCACCTGGGGCCAGCAGAGTCGGACCACAGATGAACCCACGAAGGAGCAGCTTTGCTGTTCTTTATCTAGCTCTATTCCACTCCATGGGGAGCCTGGGGCAGGACCGTGGGAGGAAGAAATGATGAAGCCCACCTCCCCTCCACTCCTTTCCACACTGCAGGGCCTTCAGCATGCCTTATGCCTAATGGAGAAGTTTTAAATTCAGAGTCTAAAATCACCAAAATAGGGGTATGTTGACGACATGGGAAGAACTCACTCTTCGTTCCTTGCACCTTACTAAACCTAATGGTCTTGTCAGTTGTACAAACAGAGACTAAGTCAGGAATTCAGGTGTCCAGATGTACTCAATGTACCATGAGGAAACATCCATAGGGAAGCGAGTGAGTCAGGATGGGTGAGGGGAAGAATTCCAGCAGAGATGCGGTCTCCTGATCTCACCCACAGGAACTGTGCAACACAACACCACACAGATGTCCTGCCTTGAGAGGAGGGGACCAGGCTTCATCTGCCCATAGGGTGGAGTAGGGGTGGAGAGTGACCTTTTGTGGGAATTAAATCATGTCAGCCATGGGCAATGCTTAGAGAATTGGGCGGGCTTTGCTCTGTCAGTCAACAGCCAACACCCAAAGAGTCCAGGGCATCAGAACACCACTCCAAGAAGAGGAGGACCCCATATGGGTAACCAACAGGGAGCACTGTAATTCTTTATGCCAAAGTGGATCCTGTACCATGCTTTCAGTCATGTCATAGTCTCTCGAAAATGTTTTCTTTCATTTTGTAGAGCAAAAGTTAAACTATAATAGTTTTGAGGTACAGTAGTTACTCTAATACACATATACTATGTGCACTCATATTTGACTGATGGTTAGGGATTCTTAGTCTTGGGAAATGTCCTATGAAATACACATTAAGACAGAGTACATTATAAAAGCCACCACAATGGACCTTCATCCATTCTTTTCAGCGTCAGTACTTGCATTATAATTAATTATAATGCACCATAACACACAGTTAAGCATCTCTCTTCTCCAGAATTGGGAACTAGATCCTTGTGCACACCTAATACTTATGGGGTCCTAGGCAAGGACACAAATGGAGGTCTATGAAACCGCATACCTAACTATTCAAAAGCTGTAAACCAAGATAACACATGTCTAGGTAGAACACATTGTGTCCTATCACACTAACACACAGACCAGCTCTGCCTGAGAGGGTGTTCCTGATCTTCTTGGCAAGAGTGAGCTCATTAATACAAAACAGGAAATGGGACAAATGAGGGTTTGGAGATCAGGGCACTTTCTGTTTGGAGATCAGGGCACTGCCTTGTTGTGACAAGTAAACTAGATGACCATGACTTGCTTGATTGCATAAACACATCAACACACACACACACATCTCGGCATACAGTAGTCACCGTGGAAAGTGATTTATTTAAGGCAACGATGCTGTCACTTTTCAGAAGTGCTCTTTTAGAATTAGCCGCAGTGTTGGATTAGGAGCCTTCCATGAAACCAGACTCATCACTCAAGCTGAGACTTAGTGTGTAACTCCCGACAGCGTTTTCCAGCTTGATCACCCAACCTGCTCAGCAGACTGAACTCTGAGTGCCCGAGAATTTTTTGGAACCCACCCCCCCCCCCCCCCCCCCGAGGATACACACTGTCAGAGTTATCTTTCTAAAACACATCTCAGATCATGTGCTCCAGTGGCTCCCAGCTGCACAGAGAATTAAGCACCAACTCTTCTGCCTGGTTTTCCAAACTTTTACATTGCCCCTTCCCCATTTGGATGTCCAATCCCGTCACCCACTAGGACTGTTCCATGAACACACAATGCCTTATATTCACCAATGCAAAGCTTCCACCCCCGCGCCCTTAATGCATGCTAAGAGCTTCACATAGTATCACATTTTATCTTTATAAGATTTTATACAATAAATAAAATAATAAAAACAGGGCACTGGCAAGATGGCTAAGTGGGTAAAAGTGCACGCTGTGCAAATCTGATGACCTGAGTTATATCCTTGGATCTCGTGTATAGGTGGAAGGCAATCGCTAACTCCAGAAAGTTGTCCTCTGACTGCCACGTGGATGCTGTGACACATCCATACCCACGCACACTTATCATACATACATACAATAATAAGAAATAAAACACATTGAAGCAAATATCAATAATAATATAAATGCTGTTTATATTTTATATGATACTTGAAATATAATAAACCATTGTCCAGGTAGAATATGTGTGACATATGTCTAATTTTAGATTTTTAAATAACCACATTAAAAAGTAGAAACAGATGCAATTGATTTTAATAACCTACTTTGCCAGTAAGTATATAACCAGTATAAAAGTGTTAACAAGATATTTCATCCCCGTTTCTAATATCAAGTCATTCAAAGTCATAGGTATTGTATACCTATAGCACATCTCAATTTAGATGCTAATTTTCATTGAAAACATGTGATCAGCATTTTAGCTTTCATAAAATGTAGGGTAAGAATTGTAGATAATTTACCTAAGTTGTTATTCCAAACACACTTAGAATTTCAGTACATGAATTGATACAAAAAAATAATTTCCTTTTCATAGGTGGACATTTTCTCCAGAGGACACAGGTTACTAAATGAAACTTTTGGTGCCAGGTATGGGAACTCTCTTCCTGAGTTACTGGTCAGAAAGGCTGCAGACGGTCCCAGAACAACAAAGTCTATTTCTACTGTTTTTCACTTCACACCATAGCTATATGTTGAGATACCAAGTGGTGACGACCTACACACCTTTGTTGTAGGACAAAGAGAAATGGCTGGAACCGACCCCCAAACTTCTCTGCTGGCCAGCTTCCCCAGTGCCAGAAGGTGTAAATGCAGGCACCTGCGGGACACAAGTCTTTGACGATATCGCTAAGTGGTGAACTGTGAATGCTGCTATACCAACCTGCCAGGGAAGACGTTCCCAGTGGGCAATGGTGGCATGAAGGTTATGGGAGCAACCAAACACTTTCTGATGGGATCTGAGGCCTGTTCCAAAGTGTGTGTGTGTGTGGGGGGGGTAGTTCACACCTGATACTTGGAGCCTGGTCAAAGGCCCACGGCTGGGGAGATCATACACCCTGGGGGGTAGGGAACCCACTACTGTTGTTTTGCTAAAAGGACACATTATCTAACTACCTTCTAAATAGTTATGCTTATAATCCATAAATTAGTATGGCTTTTAACCTCGACCAGAGAAGCTTTGGAAGTGGGAAGCAGTTAATGCAGAGACCCATAACTGGTTCAAGTGCTAAGAATAAATAAATGTAGAGTTCTCTGACAAAATTGGGACATTGATATCAACACCCCACCCCCAAAGCTCAAGGAACATTATGGAAGAGTGGATAGGAAGAATGTAAGAGCCAAAGCACTGTGAGATGCTCTCTGTTGGACACGACATGATCATAGCACTCATGAACTCAACAGTTGTGGTTTCCTGGACAAGGTCATTCCAATAAGAGGAGAGATACTGCAGGCGAGGTACGTTAAGATCATGATGGGAAGACGTGCAGAGATGACCGGCCATACTAGTGGAAGCCCATGAACTGTGGTCTGGTGGCTGTGGAGCCCCCATAGGACTGGACGAGGCCCTCTGGATACAGAAGACGGTTGTTTGGCTCGAACTGTTTGGGGGGCACCCAGGCAGGGGGATCGGGATCTGTCCCTGGTCTATGGGCAGGCTTCTGGAATCCGGTGCCTGTGATGTGATGCCTTGCACAGCCTTGGTGCAGTGGGAAGGGGCTTGGACCTGCCTAGTCTCAGTGTGCTGGGCTCTGCTGACTCCCCATGGGAGACCTCGATTTGGGGGATGTGGGGATGTGGGGTGGCTTGGGAAAGAGGGCTGGGTGTGGGAGGAGGGAGGGGGATCTGTGGATAGTATGTAGAGTGAGTAGAAAATTCCTTAATAAAGAAAAATGAAAAAAAAAATTTAGCCAATATCCCGGCAGGCAGCACTAATTGGACTCAATGGGTTACAAAATTAAAGAGAAAGAAACAGAAAAAGAGAGAGAGATAAAGAAAGAGAGAGAAAGAGAAAGAAAGAAAGAAAGAAAGAAAGAGAGAGAGAAAGAAAGAAAGGAGAGAAAAGCAGAGGACATGAAAGTGGAAGGGAGTGTTGGGAGGTGTTTGGGGAGTGGGAAGGAGGAGTTGAAGATGGATATGATCAGTGTATGAAATTGTCAAAGATAATTAAAACTTTCTAAAATGTTATTTTCTAGTCTCACTTGCATTGCCAATTTAAAATATAAAGCTTTACTTCAATCAATTAAAATTAAATACGATTTTAGTTTCCCTGTCACCCTACCACGTCTGTGGCTGCCATGGGCAATGGTGTTGCTCTTAGCACTTGACTACTTTGAGGGAAGTAGAGGCACCAAGAGGTAGCAACTTGTACCAATCCCCACAATTCATCGGCAAAGTTCAGAGTAGCTGATTTGCCCAAAGTGACTTCGCCAACAATGATTGGAGCCAGAATTTTCTGAACTCAGAACTGTTTATTTCCTTAGCCTAGGCCTTATCCTGACATCCTTCCTTGATTCCGACCCCATTTAAAAAAAAAATAAGCTTTTTACTTCTGTCTGGAATGCCTTGTGAGGTCCAGATTAAGTGTCATTCATTCATTCATTCATTCACCTTTTCAGCAAGTACTGCTGGCCATGTTTCAAATACTTCCCATAGAGGAGATGTATTGAGTGGTCAAAGCAGACCCAGCTCTGCCCTCACAAGTCTAGAGTGGGAGTCGTCAGTCTTCTAGTCTCACGACCCTGTGGCACTGCCACAGAGGGCCTTTGCTTGTGAGTTGTAACTGTCTACACTCATTTCACTACAAATGAAAACGTGGGAAATGGTGAGATGGCTCAGTGGGTAAAGGCACCTGCAGCCAAGACTGAAGACCCGAGTTTGATCCTCAGGACCACCTGATGCAAGGAGAGAACTGACAGCTGCAGGTCGTCCTCTGGCCTGTGTTCACAACAGACAAATGTACAAAAACTATAGAAATTAAAACTTGAAATTAGAGCATTATTCACCCACTCTCCTTAAAATAGAGGAATGATTCCATTATAGGTAGATACAAAGAATGCACTCTTATGAGAAAAAAAAGCCCTACATTTTCCCAAACAGGAAGTTATTAGGAAGAACAGCATGGCTCCATACTTGCTGACCTCTGTAAGGCATAGCTTAATAAAAAACAAGGTGAGGCATCTTGTAAGAGAGAGTGTATGTGTTTGTTTGTTATTGTTGTTTTGGTTGAAGGACTTCTGGCCTCTCCCAGATGTGTAATTGGAAAAGAGAGAAGACTCTTGAAAGCCAATTCAGATAACCGTGCAAATTCTTTCTGGTGTATTACTGAAGCCCAGTGGGCGACCACTTCATAAAGATTAGCTACAAGCCTTAGCAATACGTTTTTCCTATTTTAAAATTACATTAACATTCAGTATGTCATCTTGTACTTTCAATTCACTTTACTGTGATTTTTGTCACAACCCCCATTGTTCATTTAGAAAATATTGATTCACTGAGCTGTAAGATCTTTCCAATGTTGACACATTTCATCATACCATATTTTAAAATCATATTCATTAATATCAGCATTGGCTGAATTAGAAAGCCCATCAAATACCAGGAAGCTGTGAAGCCAGTTGTGGCAGATACGATTTTTCTAGAACCCTAATTTTCATTTGATGCATGAATTTTACCAGTGGTGACATACTGCATGTCAGCTTCTTGCCTTTTTACCTTCCTTTCTTTCATCCTTCATGTGCATGCATATGTGCATGCATTCATGTGTGTGTGTATGCATGTGTGCGTGTACGTGTGTGTGTGTGTGTGTGTGTGTGTGCGCGCGTGTGTGTGTGTGTGTGTGTGTGTGTGTGTGTGTGTGTGTGTGTGTGTGGTGTATGTGTGTGTACATGGAGGCATGTGCACATGGAGGCCACAAGTTGGCATCACATGTCTTCTTCTATTGCTTTCCACCTTAGTTCTTGAGACAGGCTCTCTCACTGGGTAGCCAGTGAGTTCCAGGGTTCCTCCTCCTTCTGCCCTTCAGCTCTAGGGTTGCAGGAGTGTGCCACCACACCTTCTTTTTATGTGTGTGCTGAGGATCTGAATTCAGGTCTCATACCAACTGAGCATCTCTTCAGGGCATGTGAGTTGTTGGTCTTGAGATGACAGGCTCACTTTATTTTTGAGAAAATATTTGTCAAATAAATAAGTGCAGCTTAATTGCCCATTATCTCTTCAACTAACTATGACACTGTGAAAGAGCCCCAGTCCAGCTCAAAAACCTAAACAGACACAATGTTCTTCCTTGGGCTCACCACCGACCTCACCATTCACTTCAGCAGCAAAAGTGCTCAATGTAAACTTTCCATTTTGTCAAGCAGACTATGAAACAGATATGTACAATAAAAAAAATAGCATTCAGTGAACATTATCATGAAAATAATTTTGAATTCATGAGCCCTATGAAATGGTCTTCAGATCTAAAAGATCTGAGGATCACACTTTGAAGACCAACAGATTAAAGGAAAAGTAGTTAAACATGTATGTGGGTAGTCTGGTTCACATACCAAAGAAGGACTCTGGATAAAATGATTTTTTTGTTTTTTGTTTTTTGAGACAGGGTTTCTCTGTATAGCTCTGTGCCTTTCCTGGAACTCACTCTGTAGCCCAGGCTGGCCTCAAACTCACAGAGATTGGCCTGCCTCTGCCTCCTGAGTGCGGGAATTAAAGGCGTTCGCCACCATCGCCAAGCACAAAGTGATATTTAAAGCTACACATAAAATGCATGTATAAAGTGATATTTAAAGCTACACATAAAATGCATGTATGGGTAAACCAAGTGAGCAGAGGGCAGTGGAGGAGCAGGGTGTCCCAGGCAGGCGGTGATGCAGAAGATACAAGAGAGGCAGCTTGAGAATACAGGATGCTTTGGCTAGGCCTTGAAAGGTGGGGAACAAAAGTAATAAGGGGGTGGGGCTTGACAGCTGGACAGTGTCAGGCTTGCAAGCAGCCTTGCAAATGCGGAGGGCATCTCATCCTTTCAGTGCATTCCTGAAGACATGTAATGTGAATCTAATTATAAGGAGACAGCCAGACAAATCCATTTTGAGGGGGAAATTCTGCTAAACTGCTCACATGGACTCTTAAAAAAATGCCAAGGTATTGGAAAGGCAGAAAAAGAATAAAGAAAAGGAGATTAAAGAGACAGGACAACTCAAAGTGCTACACCATCCTTGGTTGGATACTACACAACAAAACAGAACACAACAGTGTTTTGGTCCTCTCGGTCTATCGGAACAAAACACCTTAGATTGGGTAAGTTATAAACCACGGAAACTCATTGCTTACAACACCTTAGATTGGGTAAGTTATAAACCACGGAAACTCATTGCTTACAGTTCTGGGGGCTGAGCAGACCAACATCAAGGCCCAGCCAGTTGTGTCCGGTGAAAGTTTGCTCCCTGTTTCTGTGATGGTACCTTCTCCATCTTCATGTGGTAAAGGACAAGGCAGCTCCCTTCAATGTCCTTTAGAGGAGCCTGGTCCCATTCAGGAGGGCTCTGTTGGTAAGATTTAATCACCCCTAAAGACTCTACCTCTGGTGATTAACACCATCTCTGGTGATTGTTTCAACACAAGAATGTGGGAGAGATATTCAGACATAAGCATCTACCACCACTTCACTCCTTAGATTTTTCTCAATCTCACAGTTGGAAACCACTAAGAAAAAGGAATGTCAATTGAGAAGATCCCTCCATCAGACTGGCCTGTAGGACATTTTTTTTTTCTGATTAATGTTTGATGTGGGAGGTCCCAGCCTATTGGAGGTATTACCACTCCTGGGCTGGTGATCCTGGGTGCTATAAGAAAGCAAGATAAAAGAACCAGTAAACAGTATTCCTTCACAGCTTCTGCTTCAATCCCTGCCTTTAGGTTCCTGCCTTTAGTTCCTGTCCTGACTTCCCTTCAGATGGACTACAGCTGTGAGCTGAAATAAACCCTTTCCTCCCCGAGTTGCTTCTGGTCATGGTGCTTATCACAGCAACAGAAACCAAACTAGGTCAACCACCAACTACAAAGGACAGTATTGGCACAACTGTGGAAATCTGAATGTGGATAATGTTCCAAAAAACAAACCAATGTTCTGTTTTCTAAACATGGCCTTGCACTGTGGTTACACTGAAGAGTGTTTATCCTGAATGGATACATGCTGAGATATTTACAAATGTGACTAGTTCAAATATCAATGATGCATCAAAACCTATTTTCACAAGCAGAGAAAGAAAGGTAAGACAAATGTAGCAATTGATAGATCTAGATGAAGGGTGTAAGAGCATTTTGGCAAATTCTCAGTGAATTTGGAAATTTTTCAAAATAAACATTAGATTGTATGAAATAAAAAAAATGTTTGACACAATGAAGAAAACACATAGTTGAGTGAAGAGACAGACTACAGTATGAAAAAAACCTTTGCCAGATGTACATCTGACAGAGGATTAATATCCAAAACATACTCAGAACCCCCCCCACCCCCCGCCCAATCAACTCAGTCAGTAAGTAGACTAAGGAAACAAATAGTCTTCATAAAGTGAAGTACAGATGGCCAATGAAAATATAAAAATAGTCTTCAGCATTTTTAGCTAACAGGGAAATGAAAATTAAAACTACATTGAGATTTTATCTCATTCCAGTCAGGATGTTCATCATAAAGAAAACAAATAAGAATGCTAGCAGGGATGCTGTGAAAAGGAAGCCCATGTAAGCTGCTGGGGTGGGGAATGTGAATCAGTCCAGTCAT